GAGGGGGTGGCAGGGCGATCGCCGCCCTGCCACGTGGCAGTCGGGAGCCACGTGGCGGGTCCGGCGGCGCCCTACCACCCCCCACCTACCCACATCATCTTGTTTTCGTTTTTCTTTTTGCTTCTTTTGCTTCTTCTTCTTTTTTTTTTTCTTTTTTTTTTTTTTCTTCTTCTTTCTTTTTTTCTTTCTTTCTTTCTTTCTTTCTTTCTTTTTTTTTTTCGGGGAGGAAGGAAGGGGGGTGAGCCGCCCCTGGCGGAGAAAATCAGTGCCCCCAGTTTGCGAGAGCTGTCAAAAGATTCGACAAGCTGCGGTTGCTGCTCTTCGAATGTCCCGCCCTCCCCGTCTACATCCTCGGGGGCCCCGACGTCCTCGCTCTCATCGCTCACGAGATTCACTGCACCTATACTTTATGCTCCGGCATCATCGACTTACCCATCTCCTGGCCATGTGTTTTTTTGTCCGCCACGGCCGAGCATGCCCTCGCATGATATGAGTTCAAAGTTCGTAATGACATGAAAGGCCTGGCACAGTCGCACACCCGTGGACCGCTGTCCATTTTCTGTGCACGCAGTGCATTCCAAAAACAAACAGAGCGGTGCTGACAGTGTTTTCATTAGCATTTTGTACATTGGTTCAGGTCGTTAGAATTATAAGTTGCAGAGCATATTTTGTTATATTGTGTAAGTGTCGCACATCCTTTTCTCTGTGAGAAAGAGATAGAGAGGGAGTACTGATTGCCGTTTTTGGTACGAATGGTCTATGTCGTTGATCCCAATTGACAAAGATTAGTAGTCAACCGTGCGACACTATAATTTATATGCCATGATAGGTTCTATGGTCGTGTAGGAAGAGGCAACGACTTCCGCATGGTATACGATATATGACACAACATTCGTCACCACGGTTTTGCGGCTAGCCAAGTTCGTAACTATCCATCCACGACGTTTGTGAATGTGGTATGTGTTTTCTATGTCCGCGTGAAAATGATTGCACCTCGGCAACTCAGCCGACCTCCGCACAAACTTTTTAAACATTTCACAACCTACTACATTTGAATTTAATTACAGAGAATGCAAAAAAAAACACAATATACACACATTGGTCATCACAGGGGGTCTTATGTGTCTCACATACTCCAAAAGGCAACAAATTATAACATACATCGTAACAATCATCAAATGATTGAAATATTGTTTAATATTGTGTCTGCACGCTGTAGCGAACTCTCTCTCTCTTGGAGAGGCAAACAACAGGCAACATGAAATGTAACCCGCAGATGGATGTAGAGGTTCTAATATAGCTACAACTCGACATATGAGAAAGAGAGAGAAAGATATATATATATATATAAAGAGAGAGAGAGAGAGGAGGTTCACTAGTGCGGGCCAAAACGACAACAAACGGCACTGGTGGACACTGATATGGCATGCAGTAGTGAACCCGACCGTCGTTGAAATTGAGCCAGACATAGAGGGATGTACAGGTTGAGAGATGCGTGTTTGCGGCATACTGTAGTGCACCATGTGGTGTTGCCCCCTTCATCACAACACGCAACACTTTGTGCGGATCGGGAAAAGCACGTGCCAACCTCAGAATTGCATGTGCCCACCCTTTTGTCACTTGTCCACTCGCAACCTTCAAATCATAGTATACATCATGTTCCTCGTCTTCCTCGTCGCTGCTGACATCGTTGCCGCTCACTTCCACGTTAGAAGATGATGCCCCCTCATCCTCTTCTTCATCTTCTTCTTCTGCACTGTCTGTGTACTCTGAACAACAACTTGGCAAATCGGCCTCTTTAAATCCACGATCACACTGTTCTTTCTCCATTGTGAAAGCATTGAAGATATCGCAACACACTAGCTGCTCTGTCGTTGCTGTCTGCATGGGAGACACATCGACTACCATACTGGTTATTGATTCTTGTGCTGCTGGTGTCTGTCCGTTGTCTGGAATGATTGCTAAATTTGTTTCCGTGACCATCACGTTCCACCCTTCTTCTCTTTCTCTTTGTCTTTCAATATCGCAGCTTGCAAGACCGAGCCGCCCCAAAGCAGCTGATAACAACTCCCTCCACAACGGTCTGCCAGATATGATCTTGTCTTCTGTTATTGCGGGCACGAATTCTATCAGATCTTGACCTTGCAGTGCAAACTCTGTCACTTCGTGCAACGCCTCATGGATGACGTTCCTGTCTCGTCACTCTTTTTCATGAAGTCCACAAGTTGATCCAGCAGAATATATTCCACACCATCTGCGACAATGATAGGAACATCTTGAAAGTCTTCTGGCGGTGTTTGTGTAATGTCCTTCATTCTGGACAACACCAATATTTCTGCAGCACCACTCTTCAACTTGTCCTTCGACCCATCAACCTGCATTCCCTCATTCCGTACGATAGTGCCCAGCAACTTGCCCAAGTTCGCAGGTGTATATGTTCCCCATGTCTGCTGCATTGTCATGTCCACGTCTCCTTCTTCGGACATCCTTTCGCCGCAGATCCACTGGACCACTCCTTTCAGACTGTATACACTGTCTTCCATATCGCTGTGCACACGTACATGTGGTGACTCTCTGAAGCGTTGCAAGAGTGTTCGTGCTTTGACACGGCCCTCGTCGTTTGCCATGATTGTGGATCTCGTATCCACAACAACTATGAAGTACCTCGGCACCCTGTCTTGAAGCAAAGACAACTCGCTGTCACCGTTGTAGTGGACGCCCTCCTTTGCATACTTCATTACCTCTGCAAGAGCAGCCTCCACCTGTGCTACTGACATCGACATGATGCGTACGGTTTGTCTTTCGTCCTCTTCTCTCTGCCAGCGGAAACACACAATAACGTCATCGACATGTGTGTGTGTGTGTGTGTGTGTGTGTGGCGTCTATGTATGAACCTATGTGGATGTCTGTGTGTCTTTGTGTATATGCCTATGGATGTGTGTGTATGAATGGTCTGTGCGTGTGTTTGCATGTCTGTTCCCAAGTTGGCTACTGCGTGCCATTCGAAGTCGCAACGGTAATCATTCGTCAGTTTCTGCACGCAGTAACCAACTTTAAGGGTGCATGACAGAATGTGTGTGTGTGTGTGTGTGTGTGTGTGTGTGTGTGTGTGTGTGTGTGTGTGTGTGTGTGTGTCTTTCTGTATATGCCTGTGTGTATGTGTGCATTTGTTATGCGTGTTTGCTTGCGCATGTGTTAGCGTGTCCGACTTCAGGTTGGCTACTGCGTGCCATTTGAAGTCGCAACGGTAATCATTCGTCAGTTTCTGGCACGCAGTAGCCAACTTTAAGGGTGCATGCCAGGATGTGTGTGTGTGTGTGTGTGTGTGTGTATGTGTGTGCGTGTGTGTGTGTGTGTGTGTG